GAGGAGTTTCTCCACTGTAAGCAGCAGCAGGAGATACTGAAAAGTGGTGGCAGAGCAGCAGTGAATGGAGGCTGTGGCTGAAAGCCAAGAGATAAGAAGAAAGCATACAGCTAAGCAGAGAGATAGAGATCTCTAATGGAGAGAGAGAGAGAGAACTAAGCTCTATGGACAGAGTTTTGGGGTAAGAACTGAACCAAACCCCCCAAAACCCTTTTGAGACCCCTCCTTGGAGGAGGACATGGACTCCTACTTGAGAGGAGTCTTGGAGTGCTGCAGCACCAGAGAGAGAGGAGCTAAGAAGCTCAAGACATCCTAGAGCTGGACCGGGACGGCCAGACAGAATGTGGAGGGGGTGACCTTGTCCCCTCCGCTGCTGCTGCCAAGTTGGCAGCCTGAGACAGAGCACAGGAGCTCTGATAGAACTCTTGAGGCAAAGGCTTACAACTGAAAGCTGCCCGAGACGTTCTGACTCAGAGGTAAACCCCCTGAGGAAAGAGACCATCACGAAGACCCCTGTACTTGGTGATATGATGTGGTGAAGCAACCTTTGTCCCGTCTAATTCGCAGTCCAGGAGAGAGAAACCTTCGCTTGGAGTCGAAGGGCCGAGAGGGGTGAAAGAAGACCCCTCTTGGGTGTAATGGAAGAGATCCAGCTACAACAGTCCAGCTACAGCTGCTGCATGGAAGAAGAGAGGCTGCTGCTCTGAAAGTGGAAAGGATCTTTTCTTTTCCCCTCTGGACTTTTATTAGAGGGAGAAGAGATTGATCCATTGTAAATATTGATTTATCATAGGAGAGATAGTTAGGATTATGTATATGATGTATTGTAATATTTATTTTTACAGTGATTGTACTATAATCCCCTTCCCCCCATATTGAGTCTTGTGTTGTGTCTGGAAAACGCCTCTCACACTGGGGTGAGATGTGGGAGGGGACTTGGATTCGAGAATTGGATTTTAGGGGTCTCAAACCACAACAAGCCACAAGAAGAGATTCCTTAATGGAAGACCTGTTGGCTACATGCAAAAAAAGCAGCCTTCTTTGCACATTAATTTCTACCACTTATGGTGACATATTCTTTGGAAATAACGTGGACTCCCTGAGGAGGGAAACTGCTCATAACTTTAGCACTTTTTTCATTGGTCCCATTTGAATAAAGTGTATTACAGCATAATGCAGGTTTTTATAAGTTAAGGGAGTTATTTTCTCAAATAAAAACATTAAAAGTTGCAAATCAGCTTAGATAAAGTCAGTTATATTCTAGACACTGGAGCAACTTTTCATTACAAATTTGGCATAACAGAAGACAAGCATCCAAAGAGACAAAATATCATTTACCCTTTAAATGCCCACAGTGGTATCCTTTCTTATTGCTAATTGCTGATTTTATTTTGCACTCTGGTGTCAAATAGCATCTTTGGAATAGGAGAATAAAACAACAAGAAAACTCCAGTAAATCATCATAGCCCTTAACAAATAAAGTGCTTCAGGAAGTTAAGTACCTTGAAAAAAATCTTCATTCAGGTTTGACATTTTCCTATTTACTTTATTCTTTTTATGGAATGGTCATCATTTAACGAACGATTGTCTAGAATACTTACTCTGACAGTAAAGTGATCTCGGTGACTTTAATGCAAGCATTATTCTAAGGGCTGTTCTATAAAACAAGTAGGATAATGTTACATGGAGATCATTCAGCAGAGCTAAATTTAAAAACAGCGCTCTTACAAGATCTAACAACTTGCAAATTTATGACCAGATCTGGCAGCTTTTCTTTGGACTCATCCACTATGTAAAATTCAAATACTGTGATAATACCATACATTTTAGCAGATTATATAAAAATTAACTGTAAAATAAAGCACAAAATGTATCATCTCTATCTTCTGATGATCTATCTAAGGATCATCAGGATAACAGGAAAAAGTAGATTCATACTGTTTAGGTACTTCCTTACTATTCTTTATATAAAATTCCTTTATTCCCTTTATTTCTTCTGACAATATTTTTCCTATATTTTATTGCCAATACAATTTTTAGTACAAGTTGCAAAGGCAGTTGGAGAAATAGATTTACTTAGGGCAAGTTATCTGAAACGTACAGTAAGAAAGGAAAGACTCAAAATTCCCTTCCAATCTTCTTTAAACACTATCTCTTTTTTTCCAATGAAAAAAAAAATTAGTTAATTCATTACTAAATGTGACTGGAGATAAATTAGGCAAGTGAGATATCTCCAAACTCTGCAATCATCACTGATCTCAGCTGGCCAGATTCCACCCTACAGCCTTCTAGAGGAGCTGAGGGTCACCTCACTGTCAGAAATCTTGACATTCACATCAGACTCATGGATTTCAAATCAGCTGCAAAAATATATATGATTATTTTGTGGCTGACACGTTTGTTTACCAATCAGAAGTGGCAACTTCTCAGTAAGTAACTCTGCATGTCAATATAGAAAAAAAATTAAAATTCTGGGTTAAAGCAGATTATAATTTATAACTCAAACTGTGCAGATTTAGTAGAACTTTTTTTCTGTAATCACCTGCTATATGTTTACTCCAAGGCTGTAATTAGTTCAATCTGTTGTCTTCGTCCTATGGTTTTTACTTAGGAAGGCTGATTGGTTAATCAGCCTTTTTCTCTTTGATTGTACTTTGAGGGAAAGATATAAATAATTCATTTTCAAGCATCCATTTACTTCCTAACTCTCTTTAACAGCAATGTTAGTAGCCAGGGACCCATATTCTCTCCTTTGATGACAATATCTCCCTAATTTATAAGTGTAAAGTTTGTATTAAGTCACAGAAATCAGAAAATTCAGTGTATTAAGTGTACACAAAGGGCTAAGGATTTATAAAAAACAATATTTACAGGTTAAGCTTTATCTTGCACTTACTTGTTTGGTGCATAATTTCTAATTATTACAAACCGATTATATTAAAACTTTGCATGAATATCTATTTTTAGTCTTTAATATGAAAGTTCTCTTTGGATCTTATTTTTTTTAATAGACTTATTTTTTTCTGCATACCACATACAGTATGTTATGTTCCAAAATGGTATGGTGGAATGTGGAGAATTTTGTTTTGGGGAAATAATAAATTCCTCTGGCTCTATACAAAAGGCTTTATTCATCCCTCAGGTGCGTGATCATTATCTGGGTCTATCTTGGCTTTTCCCTTAATTTAAACAAGAGCCACCTACTGTAAATCACTTTATTTGCTTACAGACACATGTGCAGCAGCAGATGTGTACCTTCTAATATTAAAAAATACATTATGATTTCAGTTTTTAAAAAAGTTATAAAGTTAATTAATTAACTCATGAATGAAAATTAACCCTAATTCCAATGTCAAACAGTTTTTCTCTGCTGCAATTTCTAGTAAAGTTGTTGAAGCTGCTATGCCAGAATATTACATATGTCAAAGCATCTTACTGGAGCATCACGTATCCTTAAGGGACATGCAGAATTCCTTCTCAGCTGCTAAATACAGACAGTTATTACAATGATACTCAACAAAATATCTGTTTTGTACCAGTTGAAAGCTCATCTCCCCACCTTATAAGCTCATGGAATGATGCCTCTGACCAGGCACCACACATGCTAAAAACCAGTGAGTAAATCTCTTACCTCATCATGCACAATGTTTTACTAAAGTCATAATACACAGGGAAATTATATCAAACATACATACAGCCTTTTATATTTCTTTCCTCTCTAGTGCAACCACTGCATTGAACTGAAAAGCTGTGCTAAAACTCAATAGGTCTTACTTGCAACCACAGGGATATTCCCTTTCCAACCCACTTGTGCATTAGCACCTGTGTAAGTGTCTTTGGGTAGACCGTTGCACTGCTCTCTACATTCTCCCCTTCCACAGCACACCACTATGGAGAGTCACTCTAGTTCTCCATCAATCCTTTTGTCCTTGGTATTCAGGGGAACCTGTTGAGCATTCAGTGAGAATCAAAATAAAAATACGCATCTCTTCCCTGCACCTCCTGAGGCAAACAACAACTTTAGTCTACTGATCTGTAACAAAAGGCAGTTGTGCAGTGTTTTAAATGCCATTAGGTCTCATTAACTTCTCCAGACTTTTTCCAAGGCATTTGCCATTAGCAGCAGAGATCCATATTTGATGTTGACATGGTATTATGGTATCTCTTGAGATGAACTGAATAAAAGTAGATATACTGAAAAAAATTATTCACAGCATTGCATTAGGAAACCATTTTGTGTTGTTCCATGGAAAGCAATTGATACATAGCGATGTTACAGTGCACATTACTGCACAGAGAGTTACAAGATCACCCAGCCTTGCTTAACATCCCAGGTTCAGAATCAGTTTGGCCACAATATCCTGTAAGAGCTAGTGATTTTGGAGTCCTACATATGAGACATGTCAGACAGACCTGTCTTTCAGAAAGTATTAAATCTCTGCCACAAACACACATTTTGGAAGATTGAAATGGACATCCAAATATTGAGACCCAACAGAGTAGTCTTTTAGAAAACCTTGGCCCTCGTAAACACTGATGTAATTCAGGATTAATGCCATGAAGCTGAAAAGATTGCAATAACTAAAGAGCAATATGAGATCGGATTTAAGCTTCCAAAGTCTAAATCTTCAATATATATTTAAAGAGAAATAACTTACTCCAGCCTTTAGAAAATGGGGCCTACTGAAAGCATGAAACCTCTAAAATGTTATTTGAATGCCAGAAAAGTAATACTTTAAAAAGTCAAGACAAAAGTGCAAAGAGGAACAGAAAGGAGTGAGCCAGAAATGCTAACATGTTCATTTCCACCCTGTCCCGTGAGCTGGATGAACTCTGCAGCTCCATGGGCATCTCTGGGTATTAACTGATGGACAGTTCCTGCCCTCAGTGACACATCTGTCATTTCACAAAACAGAGACATGGATGTAAACTGGACTTATGATAAGGTTCCTAATTAAAAAAATACCAACTCAGAAACATGTGCCTATGATGATACCTACATTTAGCTGTGACTTTGTACCCGCCCAGAGGAGGGTCGTGACCTTCTACAGCATCGAATCCTGCTGACACCAGGACAATCTCTGGATCAAACTCATTGGCAGCTGGCATAATCACAGTCCTGTAGAGTGAAAAAAACCCAACACGTTAAAATCAAAAGAACTTCTATCTTCATGATATAAATTGTCACAACCACAAAAAAAAACACAGCACAACATATTTTATTTAATTAAACAGTTAGCTGTTAATTAAATTTAATTAAACATGGTAGCTGTTCAAAACCAAGTCCAAGGTTTCAATTAATTTTTTTCTATAGTTACTTTTTTTTTCTAAGACTGAGGGAAAAAAACGCAGGTACATGTGAAAGCCTCTAATATTACTTACACATCTGTGTCTGTTTTATCCTGCTGCCTATAAAAAGCTGCCTCTTCCAAGGAAGTGACTAATGGCTTACAGAGAGCTCTCAAAGCCTGAGTGGAAACCCGGACTGCTCCAGTTAGTGCGAACTTGGTGTAAATTTGAACTATAAATTTCTTTTGGGAAAATGTTTGCTTTCCAAACTTTTTTTTTACTTCTTAACATTTTTAAATGTTTGTCGAGGTGGGGGGTGACTCTAGCAAAGGAAAAACATGAAATTCCCTTAATCAAATCCAGACTATGTTGTCAAGCCTTTCCAAGGTCAAGCATAACAGGAATGTGACAACCACAAACCAGTGACAGCAACCCCTGCTGGTGTCAGGAAGATAATTCAGCTCCTCACAGTCACAAAGATTCCACTTTTTTAACCCCTTCCTTGACAAAATTATGTGAGGATATTTTATCGCTTTGGTTTTGCCCTTCTTCAATCTCAAAGCATGAAAGATGTATTGAAGGAGACGATAAACCCTGGAATTCTGCACTTCCACATGCCTTCTTTCAGGTTGACTCCAAAGGGAAGGTGTAAAGACAGCTTTTACACTAGTTTGACAAACACTGAGACTGTAGTGGCTGTGCTAAATTGAGGGATATCGCTAACATTAAAAGGCAAATACAGGAATGAATGTTCTATTACAAATAAATTAACTCAAGGAAATCCCAGTTGGTCTACATCAGACAGAATATGAAGATTAATTTTATGCATGTGTAACGCCATTTGCTTGAGTTCAATGTTTAATAATTTACTTTATAATCAAGTTAGGCCAAAGAGATCATATTTTTGTTGAAAGGTTTAGGTTTTCTGTGGCAAAAAAAATAAAAATCACATTAAATATATTTTAACAATTCTCTGGGTTTTTCTTTACTTTAGTTTTTGATCTGTGTTTTATAAACTTTATTTTGTTTCCCTCAAAGGTAATTTTATTATTAGGAAAATGTCTCCTTTACTCATTAGTCAAAAAAAAGAAAATTCAGGCTAAGTAAAAAGTCTTTGTCAGGGCATACAGCATTTCACTGAATATAATTTTAAATTAGCAAAAAAGAACCGAGGTAGTTTCAAATTTTTTGGTGATATTGCTGAAATTGCAACACAAATATCTGCAAACATAGTGATAAATTTTTTTTAATATTCCTTTTTTTAAATATGTCATTAATAGGCCTCTGCTGAAATATGGATTCCAATACTGAGCACTGGACTTCAAGAAGGACCTAGACCAACTGGAGAGATCAAAAGGAAAGGAAAAAAAAATAAAAAAAATAACCTAAGTGGATAAATAATAGAATCATAATTATTTGATTTGCATAAAATGAGAATAAACAAGTTGACAAACTGTAAGTGGTTGTTGCAAGAGGAAATAAATAACCTGTACTGTACCTACACTGTGGATAAGACCTGAAGCAGTTGTAGCAGAAAAGCTGTAATTCAGACACTGGAAGAAGCTTTTAATAGTAAGAATAGTTAATAATGTAAATAATATGTTTAAGAAAATTTCTTTTATTTTTTTTTTAAAAGGTAAAACAAATATCCTTCAAGCTTGCTACAGTTCAAGCTGACATGGCCTTGAGGCAGGAGGTCAATTACTTCTCCTCTAGATTTTTTTCCTCTTTTTGCATGATGTATAACTATATAACACATGAAGTACACATACAAATACTTGCATTAGGCACTACAGTGACTGAACAGTTTTGCAGGATAATCTCCACAAAGTTAGGGAACAATATCAGGAATAAAGATCTCCTATGCAACCACATCTTATCTTATGTACATACCTTCTGATACTCTAATTATATGTTCATTGTCTGAAGCAACACATACTTTCCAAACTTCCCCACGTCTGCAACACATGTGGCATGGATCCTGATTACTGATGAGGACTGTGGCTGATACGTAATCTTCATCTGTCCCCATAGCACCATATATCTTATACACTGAAAGAAGGAGGGATTCTATGACGAACCCTCCCTATCTGCAGCCACTTGAGCTTTTGCCCTCCTCCTCTCCATTCACATTTCCTTAAATTTAAGTAAGGCTCTGGTTTTTATTTCTTCATGTCAAACAAAGTGGCAGCACCACAGAGTACACAGCATAGACTATGTTCAGGAGTCAGAGGATGGAGTGTGTTCAGTGCAGACAGAAGCTGTGGAAACTCAAGTTGCTGAGCAGTAACAAACCTAACCAGGCTAAAACACAAAGACATTTTTGAGAGTCCTATAATTTGGAACATTGGGAAAATCTACCACACTTCTACCACATTTCAAGACCTTGCTCAAATGCGTAAAGATGTCAGCACATTTTTTAATAACTTGGGCAAAACAATGCATTTGACCCTTAATCTCATTCATAGAAGCAACAAAAATTGTTTAGACATAGTCTATTCAAAATTTTTGTCAAATAAATATGTCTGACATTAAAACTGCCAGCCATACTGAGTAGCATTAGGAAAATTATTAAATACTGAAAGCAAGGTCTTTCAACACAAAGCACCAGGAACAGCTATTAACACATCTTTAAGGGTACTGAACAGGAAATAGTAGCAGATTCATAAATCTCTACAGAAATGATATATAGGAATCTCAGCTAAAGAAAGGAGAAGGCTATAAGGCTAATAACTGGAGGTAGCATTTAGAATTCACTGTTCTATTGCTGCTTTCAGTATTACCTGAATTCACATGACCAAAGTAACAGCTAAGAGGGTTTTTCTGAAAGAAATAATTTTTTCTTTTAAAAATGTATACAGTGTCTGTTACATTTCACCAGAAGAATGGCATCCTACTTTTGCTATAATATTGTCTCACAAACTAAGTCAGAACTTTGCTGCTGCTACTCTGCATATAATGTACTAGAAGAGATAACCTATATGCTCTCTGTTCTTCATTTATTTTTCATCCTCCACAATATTGAGGGAATTAGAATGTCAGACCTCATCCATCTCACTGTTCTTAATTTAATACTGAATAGAAACTCTAAGAACTTCTCTTTTGGAAAGATATTAAGGAAAACATAATTTGTTTACTAGGATAGCAAGCTTGATTCTTCTCTTAAACACCTCAGGGAGTCCATGGTCCTTGTTACAGCAGCCAAGACTACTACTTGGTCTTTCAAAAGGATGACAGCCACAAGTGTCTCAATTGCAGAGAAGACCATATAGACCTTTGGTTCCTAAATCTTTAATCTGGTCTTCTATATTAACATACAGACATTTAAGTTCCTCTTTTGAATAAAAGCTAAGAGATCTCTGCTCAGAAAAGACCAGCTTAACTTCTGGAAAACATCACAGCATTTCAGTTTGGCGTTAATGTAGGTAGGGTATTTCCAAGTTTTGCCTTGCCTTGGCAATAACTCCTTTGTGGCACTAAACAGACAAAAATTGACAGATACTTTCCTGTCTTATGAAGTTCTATAAGGAATGACATATACACACAGTTTTAAATATAAGCTTAATTTCACCAGGACATAAATAAAACCTTTTGTCATTGGCCACCTCTCAGGCTTTAGCACCTTCATTATCCCTGAATATCTGTCTTTAGAAAAATCACAGAATCATAGAACCTTAGAACAGTTTGGGTTGGAAGGGACCTTTAAAGATCACCCCGTCCATCCTCCCTGCTGTAGGCAGGGATAAAAAAAATGTTTTGAGGCCAGTTGTTGTAAAGAAAGCCTACACAAAGCAACATGAAGATCACTTCTCCCTCATAAACAGTCTTCTCCCACCTCAGGACAGTTGGATAAGCAGGGACAGCTCCTGATCCTTCACTATCACTTGGGAGGAGAGAATCATTAGACCTTGTATCTTGCACCTTTTCTATCCCATCTACACTCTGGAGGCACAGGAAGGTGTAAGAAAGAGACATCATCCACCAACTACCTCCAAAGGAGCTTCAACAAACATGGCACTTTCCTTCTCAGTTGCCTAAGAATGCAACCCTCTGAATCCAGAAAAAATAGGCTTTTTTTTTTTTTTTTAGATCATACAACTAGCATTGGTCATACACTAATACATATTTATGTTAAACTTCCCAGATTCCTCAGATCAACCCTATGCTCAGAAGTCAGGCTGCAGCTGCCAGGACTTGTTACGGTACTAAGGGTCAAAACTCTGCTCACCAGAAATCCTTTGCAAAGTGCACTGGTAGCCTGCACTCAGACCCAGATAGGAACAGTTATTATCTTACACACAGCAGGAGTAAGAAATATGATTTGGCTTCTGGCCATAGCTCACCAGACAGGTACAGACTGGGGACTGGAAGCCCATCACTTCCTGTTGGAAGCCAGTCAGGCTGCAGAGATTATCAGGAAACCAAAGTTAATACTAGAATACTTCTCTGACAAAATGAGCAGCTTTTGTCAGAAGAGAAATTAATTTTATTCATCCACTATGACTCACACTCTCCTCCACTCTCTTCTCCAAAGAAAATAAAACACCTGAAAGAGATATTTATTTTCTGTGATCTTGAATCATGTAGAAGCATAAATATTTGGTACAGCATATTCACTTAATGATGACAGCAGAGTTACAGGGGCATCTTTCCTGGCTGACTCTTTCTTTCTTTTCTAAATCATTTTCATTAATAAACATGTCAAACTCCGAAAGCTTGAGCAGCTGCATCACAGAAATTATTTATTCATGGTAAACCTTGCAGTTACAATGAAACTGTGTCTTCCAGCCCAAAGTAGCATAGATTCTTCTTTCAGTCTGAAGGTACTGG